ATATTATTAATAAGAAATTATGACAGTGTATTATGATTGTGTCTGTTTGTTACACTACTCTATTGAAATTAAATTAAATACAAAGATAGTTGGTATGGATATTATTGGATCGATGTGGGCTAAGTTTTATGTAAAAAATCAGACGAAATCACGTCTAATTAAATTTGCAAGTTTATGATCAATTACAAATTTATTATTTTGGTTTAGCCTCTACAGATCAACCAGTCAACAAAGCTGATTGGGAGGAAAGGCGTTCAAGAGAAGAAAAGTTGGTCGCAGATATTATAGACCGAGTGCGGAGGGAGTGCGAGGCACAGGGTTCCGGTGGTGCTGCCAGGAGGGGCTACACGAGGCGAACCACAGTCATGAATACATAGTTTTAACACTCAACATTATATTTAATCAAATAAATGTTCCTTTATGTCGGTTCAGTGCAAATTGTGTCAAATCAAAATATCTTTCTTCATATAGGTCTAACAGAGAATTATGATAAGTCTACCGTCAGTGTTTTATGTGTACCATGTTTAAATAATAGCAGTCTAAAACAATGTAGTAGGTGTGTCATTTTAAAACTATAGTAATTATTATTTTTAATTAGACAGTAATACAATTCCGATCATCGTTGTAATAGTAAAAACGCTAATGTAGTGCAGCGTTTTCCTATAGATCAGTGTTGTGTCAATATAAACAATTTTATCTTCTATTTATCTGGTTAGATATCTGATTGTTACGAATATAATAGGATTACCCGAAGTTTATAACGTATAAGTGAGTTTGGTACACCCATACAGTTATTGTAACTCTTAACGGCACTAAAATCGAGGGGAATATTGGAGCAGTTGTTATAGGAAAAAATATTTAGCTACACAGAATCTTGGACGCGAAGAGTTCCCGATACCAATGTTCCGATATTGCCTCTTGTTTTAGTATCGTGTTTAGGCCATTTTGTTAACCATCTGGTTGTTATTGTATTAATAATAGGATTTCCTGGGGTACAATTCACCACCTTATACCTTCTGTCGGCACCCTTTCGCTACAATAATCTAGATGACGTCGAGGCGACTACAACTGTTGCCATTATATTGAACATATCAATTTATCATTGTCGAAAAAGTTCGAGCCTACTTGTATTGTATGGACCAGATATAATCGTCGTCAGCAATGTGTTGGATACAAAGTTTAACCAAAAAATAATTTATTTACTAGTGAAATACTAAAATATATTGATTGATAAGTAATCTACCTTACCTCTACTCTACCGTACCTTTTCCATCCCAAAAAAAGTAGGTAACCTACCTTTTTCATCCCAAACTACTAAGCACATCCCCAATTTCATGACAATTAATTGAGCAGGGAAAGAAAGTACGAATGGCATAATATTATATTAGTATTGAAACATCACGAGTTTTGCAAGTACATCGGAACCGGCATTGAAAATATTTTATTTATCTCAATGAGATATTATGGCCTAATAGTGCAGATTAGGAATGTGCTCATTTTTGTGCCAAATTGTCTGTAAATAGTGCCAATCGATATCGAAATTAAGGTGCCAAAAATTGTCCACGATGTAAATATAATTTTAATTATATACATACATATTTATGTTTTTAAAATATATGTAAATTGAAAAATTGTGCTTCAACGTTGTGAATTAATTAGTAATAAGATATTTTAAGGAATTGTATACCGTCGTCCGTTGAAAATACCCAATCAGCGGGAGATGGTAAAATACTATGATGTCAAAGAGTTGAAGAATCTCCGATGTAAAAAGTACTCCAGTCATGTGCGAATCGGACAAACTCAGAACTTCATCAGTATTTTAAGACTTATAATTACTGATTATCATGAGACATTTTAACGATTATTGAACTATTCGAACTAAACTTTTATTTAATAGTTGTGTATGTAATAGTAACGTAATTGAATAATCCTGGTGTTGTTTAAGTAGTATCTTTGAAATATTTTATTTACTCATAATCCTCCACCAATTTTAAAATGGTCTGTAATCTCTCAACTTATATTTAGTGTCTCCGTGTTTATAATCGAGTACTCTGAAGTCATATATAATGCGCCCAGCAACTGCCCCTTCCCAGCAGTCTCGAAGAGGGATCTTTCATTAGTTTACAGTCTCCGGTCACTTTTCTCTTTGCGAGCTACATTCTTGTCACTTTACCAATGATTCTCTAAGTCTTGAACTTAAAACTCTTTAATTATTTAATCTAATTAAGACATTACTGTCTACTACTGCCTACTATAGATTTTGTCGCTATCTGGTATTTACCTCTTCGAATCTTCACATTTCTTATTATTAGTTCAGTTGAAGTCCAATATACTTACATAAAAGTATAAAATGTCTCAGAACTAATTTTATTAATACTCACAGATTAAAATTATTTTTATATTTAATACCTTACCTTTTTAGAATAAATGTGCAATATTTTCTATTAATATAAATACGGGGGTCGATTCCGAAATGCATTGCGTCTTGTATTATTCATATGGAAAATAGTCAAAATGTACTGCTAAATTACATAGATACGGCAGTATGTAGACTCTACAGGAATATTTGTTTTATTAACTTATCATAGTATAGTCAATGTATACCACTTCACACCAGGTTGCCCTTTAATTTGTTTGCTATTCCTTCATTGTCCATGTTGTTTTATAGGTCACAGTGAACTATTATCGTTATTTCTTTTTCGATTATCGATTTAAATTTTAAGTAATAACTTTTCAAAGTAAAAGAAAAAATTATCATATGGAGATTATAATTTTTATATATAGATTTAGAAGATAGCGTCTCAGAATCGACTCCATGTTATATGCAATATAATGTTAGATACTTTACAATAATTAATAATAAAAATTTTTGAAGGCACTAATTGGTCAAGTGCCATGTTGTAATCAGCAAATTCCTAAAAGTCTTTAGGCCTAAAATCTAATTAGGTCTTGTATCATACTCACTCCGCGAGATGCTTATGAGAGGAAATACCTATATTAAAAAAGATCTAAAACAAAACATCTTAATGACTATATTTATTCCTAGTAAATAAATGGTATCTATATTTTATTGTAAATATCTATGTGTCAAACTTGTAAAATAAAATATACGAAAACTGTGATGAATGTGGCTCAGTAATAAAATATCAATAAGATTGTGCTGATGTATTATTAAATCCTATTAAGTATATATATGTGAAGAACGTCACCGGGTAGGGATATCATGTAAGGAAATTGTTGGATAGCGGTTTACTGCCACGACTTATACCGTAAACGTGAATTAAATCAGACCGACATAAAAAAAACTTTGGCTCAATTTCTGGCCAACTCTACAGATAATAACATACGAAACTATCCGAGAATCAGAGGTACACTTACATATGTACTGACAATGCCAGGAAATATGTGAGATTGTCAAGTGTTGCGTTAAACAACATTACTTTAAAAAAAGTTAAAACATTTTTGAAAGGTAAAGGATAACTGGTAAAGTAAGAAGTGAATGGAATTATCATATACTAGCTGTTACTCGCGACTTCGTAGGCATGGACTTGCACTTTCTTTTTAGTTAAAATAAATAATATTTTATTAGTTAAAATCTGTCTGGCCCGATTTTAACGAGTTAGTTTGTTTTTAACGTCAGTTTATTCTTACTAATCTCTGAACAGCCGACACTACACAGGCAGACTAAATCTTTTTTTTTTATATAAGTACCGTATATATTATTAAAAAGCTATTAATTTCAAATTACAAAAACGAGACGACATAATTTCAAATTAAGAAGACGGAAGTCATTCCCTCCTTATATGTACGTCATGAATGAAATCACATTAAGTTACCTCTGTCATACTTAATTTAGCCCTTCAGGAACTTACTTTATGGTTGCTGTGTCTGGGTTGTACGGTAATATTGAAATTATAGCGTACAGAGACATAACAAATGAATCCTTCGAAACGGCAATGAAAAAAGGGTGGCACAGAGGCCATTCGATGACGTAAAGTAGGTACGTAGTGCTGCTCCTACTAATGGATGGTGACGGTTGGCTTTTAAAATCTCTATACATTTTACGACTATTTCTTAATTTCATTTTTTCTATATTTCATGTATTTTGACAATTTAGTCCTGCTATTTTTCAATCCCGTGCCCTTTGTAAACCAATTAGAAAAGCGTGGATTAACTGTACTAAACGCTAGGGGATTACGATCCCTGATATAAGCTGACAAATCTGAAGGAGATCTTTACTTATTTCAATTCAAAAATTCAATCCTTTATATTACTTTCAGTGAAAAGTAAAGTTTATGGGTTACGCGTAATGAACAATATTGTTTTTGATATTATTCTCTTAACCTCTTCCAGTTATGATGGCAAAGGAAGACTGCGTCCATACAGCCGTCTGTTATCTGACAATATGTCAGTTTTTACAGTTCTCGTTTTCACTGTCACTGATAATCAAGTCATTTCATTTTTTTTTTTTTTTTTCTTCTTTATGGCTTGGCACGTCTGTGCATTTGCCAATATACAAAATTTGGGAAACAGTAGTTCAGGTAAAGGAAATTTTGGACGATAGGTTTAAAGGATCAGGCAAGTTGACAATAGGATTAATTATAAGGATTAGACTAAGGTACTACACTATACATATTAATTATATACAATATGTCATTATACTTATATAAGACCTTAATATATTAACAGACAACTATTTACATATGATATATTTATATAGAGGCAGTCAGTTTTATATTTACAATTTTATATTATTACTACTTAGAAAAATCGAAATACTTTTATACACATCAATATCATTAAGATATAATAAAATTGGAATTGATGTAGGTAAAGGAATTCGGTGAGATAGGAGATCATTAAAAGTCATTTCATAATTTTTATGTCAATTAGAATGTGTCAGTCATAACTTTTATAATATGTAACTGAAAACAATGCTTACTTAATTTATTTTTATTTCAATATTATATAAAATACTTTACTTTAATTTAAAAAAAATATAAATAATAGGAAACGAATAAAAAAGTTATTTAATGATTCGTTATGTTTAAAATTGTTTGCTAGAAATATTATTTATTTGTACATACTGTAGTTTCAGATCTGTTTTGCTAGTTTTACTTTATTTTGTTTACAGAAAATTTAAAATATGCCACAATATTTTCAAGTATTAAAATGTTATAAGTGTTTTGTATTTCAAGTAAGATACATTTAAAATACATATTTTACCTTACGTTCCAACTTTAGTAATAAGTACCCAATTTTTACACACATCTTTCTATTTATATATTTCCTTACTGTTTTGTTGTGCTTTAGTCATACATATGGTATAAGTTTCTATAACTTATATTCTTCATTGAGGTATCCAGGAATTCATATTCTAAATATTATAAATGCGAAAGTAACTCTGTCTGCCTGTCATGCCAAAACTATTAAACTGATTTAAATGATATTTGCTACTCAGGTAGTCTAGATCCTGACAAAGGACATAATATACTTAATGAAAAATGGAACTGTAAGGGGTTGAAAGGAGAAATGGAAGGTTATACTAAGATTATGGAAGTATCATCATTTTTACAGCTACAAGCTTCAAACTTATTTGCTGCAGCTGTTGATTAAATATCAGCAAATATGACTTTCAAAGTTTGTAAAAATTTTACTCTTAAGGAGCTAAAGTAACATAGGGGATCAAAGTTTTTATGGAAATTCCTTATTCATCATCTATTCCATGTGGTTCCATGTGGAAGTTGCGGGCACAGCTAGTAGTTTATTAAAAGAATGTTAATAATATTTGCAGGTACATCAAATGAAAAAATCCAATAAGTTTGAGTGTAAATTATGTGGAGAAAAGCAATCAATCAAGCGCCACTATGGCCTAGGCACTGGTAAAGAATGCAGGGTACACGTACAAAAACTTAATAGTATAAGGGGTGAAATAAATGAACTGAAAGAATTACATACCGAAAATTTCGACAACGATAATGAATTTGAAAATTCAACAACTGTGCATGATAATGATACTGATAATGATGCATCTATAAAAAGAGAAACCAAATGGGCACAATATGTTAATAAAGAACCTGTCGAAGTTAACAGTACTGAACCTATGTATCTTGGTGATACTGAAGTAGTGTTAGAAGTGCCAAAGAATGTTTCCAAAAAGAGAAAAAGAATTCATAATAGAGATAGAATTAGTCCAATAAAGTCACCTTTGAATAATTTTGATGAGATGGATAATGTTGGATCAGGTGCAAATGCATTGTTTAGTATGGAGTCTAATATTAATAGAGATTATATAGAAAGTGATGAAAATAATGTTAATAATGAAAATGAACAGACTACAAAGTTCTTAAGTTCAAAAATCAAACGATCGAAATGGGGTCAGTATAATAATGACAATGCCTTGTTATCATTAGAAAAATATGAAAAACTAAATTATTCTCAAACTGGTGAAAATGTTAATGACATAAATACATGTAGCCAAAATGAGAATTCCTTATTAAAATCAAAAATAAATTCTATGGTAAACAGTGATTGTGCTACTAAAAATGTTCCAGTTATTAATAGGAAATCTAAATGGGCTCAGTATATAGATGAAGAAGCAAAAATATTTGAAAATTCTAACTTGTCTTTATCTGAAAACAGCCAAAACAGAAACCAGGGCCTTTTCTCACTATGTGATGACAATGATTTGGATTTTGTTTTAAATGTTTGATTTCATTATAATAATTTAAATGTTTAATTTCTCTACTATATTCATTCCTAATAATGCATAAATACCTTTTGTTCCACAACAATAATCCTCTTTGTGTTTATTATAATTTAAGCCTTATACATGAACAGATAGTACAAACTTGTTTGAATATCTCATAGATTAGATATTATATAATACAGCAATATTCCTCTGCCAGGGCTGTCAGTAATAATATTTTATATATAGTCAATAAGTCAATATGGTTAATATAAGAAATGGATACCATAAATAATAATTATAAAACATGTAGCTCTTGAATAATTTTATTATTACAACCAGTACACAGTAATCATCACAATGGCAACAGTTTAATATCACTTTGTAACTTCTACTGGATAAATAGTAAGCTACAGACATACTGACATGAGTAAATCTCATATAACCTGACCAGAAATGTATAAAACAAAAATTTCCAAATGCACATTATATTTATAATCGTAAATTTGTTTAAAAATAATATATACTGCATTATTTTATATATAATAAAGTCTATTTTCGAACAAGTATAGTAACTAACTTCAGTAAATATAAATATTCCAAAATATCATAGATACCATAAAATTCATTCGTTGTATTCTAAGGTATTTATATTTTCTTGTGTGCAGGTATTTTTTATATATCCAGTAAAGAATAATTATAGTCTAATTGTTAATTTAACACATTTCTGGACAGGATAACTCTTACATTCAACATCTACCAGAAACTTCGAACTCCGATGAATACAACATCAAGGTTGCACGTCTATTACTATACAAACAATATAATATTTAGAATATTCAATTAAAGCTAGGTATTGTATATAATAATAATTAAAACATAAATATATTGTAGATACTAATAATTAAAACATAAATAGCAGTCCCTTTTCTATTTATAACTCGCCAAAAAGTTAACATTTTTGAAAGTTACGTTGTAGTACTAGTAAATGCTTCTTAAATGTTAAGATTTTGAAGAGACAAGTTTATTAGCAAGCACAAAAGTCAAACAATCACTAATAATAAATAACTATCGTCCAAATCTTACATATTGAAAAAAGGAAATTGGTAGATTATAAATTATGAAACAAAACAGGTAGGTATTAATATGATTTGCTAGTGAAGTAAACAATATTTATTACATTAATATAGAATGAATAGTTAAATAGGTTAAGTATAATTAGAATACGATACTCTGGCAGTGATTTACCTATTGTTAGATAGATATTGATCAAAACTATTTCTATTAGAAAGTTTTAATAGTTATTGTAGGTACTTAGGTTTTAATTAGCATAATTATTACTTTGTCTGGAGAAATAAGTCAGTCCATAATCAGTCATAGACAAAATTATTAATTCATTATTTTACGATGAAGAAGCCTCTAATCTGATTACTTAAGTTTTATAATCTTTCAAAGGGAGGTAAAATCTGTAGGTTCCCTGAAAATTGAATGCGTTACCAATGTAATACGCATTAACGTTTGAAAATCTTCTTTCCCGGTCCGCCCGGATCATAAAGAGTACAACCAGGCCGATTGGTTAAACAATATTACAATTAGTTCAGGGTTATCAAAGATGCGAATAATGACCGATTTTATAATACAGACGATTTTGTTTTGAGAACGTGATCTAATCATATATTCTTATATAGATACTCTAATAACAATTTTATACCTACCTATAGATGGTATACTAAAGAAAACTGGTTTAGCAATCATTAATTTAGGTATATATACTTGGAAAATATACTTGTTATAACTTAACACAAATTACTGACTGTAAACTTTAAAACTATACTTGCTTCCCCAGATCTCTTAATATAGAGTGACATTTATATGTAGGCACAGAAGAAATGAAGTTGTAGTAAACAGCATATTATAATCACACTAGTAACTGTATACATTCTATATATATAGCGAAGATGAAATTATGGGAAGCCCTACATTTCGATGCCTATTTTAAAATTATCTTACACAACTACCTATTTCTGTTACATAGACTTAAATCACATACAATGAGATACCTCTTCCTAATAGGTACATAGATGAAGACTACATTATTTCAATTTTTTAACTCTGACTACTTGAACACGTCTGATATAAGCAGATTCGTGAATAAAATAGATTATTCCAAGAGAATTATATAAAACAGACTAGAAAGCCATCATGTGTCGACGACGATGTAATTCTCTCGCTCTTGCGTACCGGCGGCTATACGTATTCCATCGCCAAGCTCTAAAAACAGAATTAAAAAAAATATTACAATTAATTTCATACGTTGTAAGTAAAATCTTGTATCAAAAGTTATTTTTTTAATTTTGTTGTCAAATAGGCAGACACCAAAGGAAGACTATCGTTTGCGTAGACAGTGGATGTGGACTACCTGTCCAGATTTAGTAGTGAAATTACAGAATAAGAGACGTGACAATATAGATTTATAAGTCAGCCATTGCGATTGAATAAAAAAGTATCATCTAACATCTAAAAGAAACTAAAATATATAACTATTTTATTGTATTTTAATTTAAAATACAAGTAATTCGACGAGCTCGGTGGTCTAGCGGTCTAGCACACTGCTTTACGTCCAATGGTCGCGGGTTCGATTCCTCGCACGGCAGAAAAGTTTTATATTCATGAGTATAATTGTTTGTATCGGTCTGGGTGTTTTCTATGTATAATATATGTATGTATTTACGAAAAAAAAATTATCTATGTATCTGTATCTAGTGCCCATAACACAAGCTTTTAGCTAGCTTAACTTGGGACTAGATGGCGCTGTGTGAATTGTCCTGAGATTATTATTATATAATAAACCGGAACATCTGGTGAAGTATTATTTGATGAAAAAATTACAGAAATTAAATTCAACTTATAATAATAAATCCATACTAAAATAATAGTGTTTATTAGTAATAATTTGTGTGTGTTTGAGTTCTATTTCTCATAGTATAATAACATTTTACTTACCCAATGGGTTCACCCCTGTACATTTGTTCGTCATCAAATCTTCTGCTATAATTCTCTTCGCTGGCTCCTATAAAATTTAAATTATTATTGTTATCATGGATAATACCAATATAGTAGTCATAATAACTTCATTGTTGCAGAACGAAATATTAATGGCCTCAGGTATCTGCAGCTGTTTAGTACACCGTCTTACTTTCTATAACTTCGCGAGTTCGATTCTCACACGAGACAACTGTTTGCAGTTATTAAAGTAGATATTTTAGAAATATTTTTGGGCATTCATTTGTATTGATGAAAATTTTAATAATTACCGAAATTCGAATGTGAGTATCGTCGGCACGACGGGCCGCGGCAACTCAGCAGCTGTTGTAATTGATTGTGGAAATAATCTTTTTCTGCTGCGGTTAGATATTTAACTCTGTTCTGCGTTTCAAACGGATCTGTAATAATGTGAATAAATGTATAATAATACTACCCGGCGGACCTGTCGAAACCTCGTCTGGCCTACTAGGTTCTATTGTATTTTCAAACCATCCAGGAATCCATTGAATACACATACAATGAACATACCGAAATTCATCCAAATATGTATAGGCATTTAGAAGATGTTAGGTGATAAATACACGTATAGAATAATTAACTATATTATGATTTATAATTATATTATTAATATAAAACTTTATGTTTTTTAGTAAAGAAAATTCAAATCATGCGTTAGAATCTGGCAATATATCTGATATTTAATTTATGATCATCATCATCATCATCGCAGCCCGGAAGACGTCCACTGCTGGACATAGGCCTCCCCCAAAGATCTCCACGACGATCGGTCCTGCGCTGCTCGCATCCAATGCCTTCCCGCGATCTTGACCAGATCGTCGGTCCACCTTGCTGGAGGCCTTCCCACGCTGCGTCTTCCGGTCCGTGGTCGCCACTCGAGGACTTTACTGCCCCAACGGCCATCTGTCCTACGAGCTATGTGCCCTGCCCATTGCCACTTCAAAGTCGCAATTCTATTTATGATATTTTGGTCTAAAAAATAAAAAGTCTGGTATCAACAGACCTATTCGCAAGTTGTAATACGTGACGAGACCAGTAACAAACTCGCAGTAGAGTAGGTTATGGGTAGCATTGATGGTCCTCACACAGTTGTACGTGTTGTTAGAGGCGCTCATGCAGAAGCAGAAAGGCCCAGCGGTCCACAGAGGCGCGGTTCGCCAATGTTCGTTGTCATGACGGAAGCAGTTCATTCGCTCCGATTCGCATAGTTTTTCCAACTCGGCCTGCAAAATAGAGAAATATTTTGTAAACTAGCAATGTCCGCGGTTTCATTCGCGTGTTTATAGCATATATGTTATTCTGATGTATAAACCATATTTTTGTAAAATTCCATTAACATATCTGGTGGTAAGGAGTTAGACCGGCTCAAGGCAATAGTCCTGCTGAAATCATGTCATAGTTATGCTTATCGGGTTTCGGTTTTATTTGGTTGATATATAAAGGTATAATAACATTTAATAAACATACCTTCTTTTTTGCTTTTCTCATCTTTTTCCGTAGTTTTTGTGCTTTCAGCTTCCTGCGTAATTCCCTCGCCTTCTGTGCTGCTTCCCAATAACTGTGGCTTGGTCCTCTAGTTTTCCTATAAACATTTATGAAATATTTATTATTATTTAGTATTAATATGCTTTTTTTATTTCTCTAGTCCATTTTTGCGCCATCTACCACTTTCTGTCTTCTCTCCTCTACCCAAAGGTTGTCTGGAAGAGATTGCTTAAGCGATAAGACCGCCTTTTGTACCTTATTACTTATTACTTGTTTGTTCTTTGTTTAATTGTTTGTCTTTCTGGTGCAATAAAGTGTTAATAAATAAATAAATAAAATAAAATATCGTTCCAATAGCCATATTATTTTTATATCAACATAAGACATAAGAGGAGGGGCAATTATCAGTAAGGGCTGTCTATCATTGCTAGAGATATACCATATTATATTAACCTCCAGTATATTTATCCACATCAAAAATAAAATATTAGTCTCACCGATTTTCCTCGCAGTAGCAGACATGTTTATCCTCATTTTCAATATACAACGGGTGTAATCGCCTTTGAAAACTGTCACTACCATTATCTAGAAGCCCTTTTAGTCCAGACATACCTTTATTGGGATTTGTCTGTTCGTATTCGGACGCGTCAAGTCGCGCTGGTCCTAAATTACTACTATTTTGAACTGTTGGAATTGTTACAAATGTAACAGGGGTGGACGGTGTAGTTTCAATTGCTTCAATTTTAGTAGACATTTTTTCAGTGGTCAACATTTTGTCAATTTCCGAAGTGTAGTACTGAGCGTCCTTTGATAAATCTACGTGATATGTAGAATTTTCCTCATCTGGCAAGAGCTTATTCCTATTAGATATTTCGTATAACTTAGTAAATTCTGTTGTAACCATGTCACCGGTTGTCAATATACTGTTATGAACAGTAGTTTTGTCTTTATCCAATTGTTTGCTGTAGTTATCATCTACGGTAATTGTAGTAGTTCGTAGATTTGGTGATTCTGTATGTATATTTAGTTCAGTCGTTGATGTGTCTTGCAGACGAAACGTTGTGCTTATATTTGTTGTATCATTTTTTATTTGTGTATTAAAAATATCATCTTTGGCATTAGTATTAATAGTCGGAATGACATATTCATTTGATTGTCGAAATTTTTTATCATACGATGTGACATTTCTGTGCTTTGTTCTCACTCTATGTAATCTGCCTTTCCTTATATGTTCTTTTGAACTATTGTGATCGTGTGTAATATTCGTGTTGTGTAAATTTACTGTAGTTGGAGGATGTGTCTGTGGTTCAACAATGGGCTTTGCAGTCTTTAAATGCCTTTTTATTTCCTTTAAGTCTTCTAATTTTGTACGTAATTGTCTTATTTGGTCTTCTAAACTTAATCTATTTGTCATCCAAGCTTGTAAATCATTATATATAACTTGTGAACAATTAACTGTACCATCTTTTTCTATTTTACATTCTAATGATGATTCGTTATTATTCGTTATTGCATCATTTCTACGTTTATGTTTATTATGATTAAAATTTTGAGCTCTCCGTTTACTTCTCTTATGATCTAGATTATCTTTGGTACGTTCATAAGCTTTAAGAAACGCTTCAGTTTCCTTTATAAGTTTATCTATTTTTTCGTTTATATCTTTATCTTCTATTTCATCTAAGGGCTCGGTTTTGAAACCCAAATGCCCAATGCTTGGATTTTCATTAAGAATACCTTCTACTGTATTTGGTTCGAAGACATCGTTGTCAATAGATCTGCGAGTTCGTGTACCGTTCTCTTTATTATTTGGGTCAACAGGTCGACGGGCTATAGTTCCATCTGTTTCTAGTCTTGTATAAACAAGTCCACTAGGCGTGAAACATGCGCATTTCTTTGTACTCATTTTTGGTGTTGGTGTGCTAATTTCAGCCTGCAAAAATAATATTTATTAAACATTATATCAATCTACTACTACCATTTATTTATTATTTATTTTTACAATATGTGAAGAATAAGATTGACTGCAAAAAGCGTCGGTATCTCATGCAGTCTCACCTATTTCAGCCGACAAGCGGCTTGCTTTGTAATTTGTAAGCAATGTCGGTTGAAGGGTTGAACAGTCAAATTACAGAACAAGAGTTACTTAATAAGCTATAAAGGACTACTAAACTAAATAATACAAACTTGCTATTTTTATACCAAAACTACAAGTATAAGTACTATAAGTACCTCATATTTGCACTTATGCCTTCGCCATCTTCCATTTACCAGTACGCATTTCCATTTTCTTCTAGAGGAGCACGGGGCACGAAGTTCCGCTTTTGAGCATTCAGCTGCTATCCGTGCTGCTTTGCCATCTACCAAGCCCGTGTCACCATCATCTAAAAATAATACAATATATTGCCAATGTTATCTAACTTTTTTTTATATATTAATAAATAATATTTTTAATGACGAGGACTCGTCAATTTGGCACACCGTCTTACTTCGGATTGGGTTTGATTTCTCGGATGATATAAACATTTATATTCATGAATATGATTGTTTTTAATAGTATCTATGGTTGTTTTCTATGTAGGTATTTAAAAAATAATGTTTTTAAGTATTCTATCAGTAGTTTATTAACGATAGTACAAGTTCAGCGTAGTTTATCACAAAACCGTGCTGTGTGAATTGTTCTGGGTTATTATTATTATATTTGCTCTTATAAGCAACGCGTGTTTACTTACCATCAAAAAACTTCAAGTAATTTTGTTGATTATTTGTACTGCTTTCTGCTAGATCTAGTGCTTTTTCCAGACTCGCTTCTAAGATGGGATTATGGCTCTCGTTGTTTAATAGAGGTTCTGATGACTTCTTTGGTTCACTATCGGTTTCGAAACTTACCTGTAATAAGAAACAAAAATAACGATCAAGCATTACAGGAATGCAATTAACTTTAAAATAATACGGCAAATCACAATCTTGCCAAAATTGTAACTTTTAATTCCCAATGCATTAGGAAAATTTACAAATTCATTCTTATTTCGGCCATAGCCTAGATTACCTTTGATGCGTTCTTCAACTTTAAAAACTCATCAAGTTCCTTTATACATTTATCTACTGTTTTGTTTACATCGTTATTTTCTATTTCATCTAAGGGCTCAGTTCTGAAACTCATATGATGGATACTACTATATCTTCAAATATGGATACCTATATATATGTATAAATTCTTCAAGATAATGTTTTGATTAGCACAGAAACCAATATAATATAGTGACTAGGATCAATCTCACCTCCTCATCATCCTCGTCGTCCAGCTCCAAGAAATCATCATCATCAAGATCATCATCGAAGTCACTGCTTTCTGAAGACAAGTCATGCGGCACCGCTGTAGTTCGCTCATTCATCTCCCGACTGTATTTCTGCCGGAAGACATCCATCGCGTGTGTTTCTCGGCGGCCAGAACTATAATTTAAAATAACAAGATCATGTTACATAAATTATTAAATGTTTAATAACAATAATTACGCTTTTAGAACGTTGTGATGACCTAGTGGTACACTACAAACACAGAAAGGACATGAGTTCGAATCTTGACAAAATCTTTGTAAAAATCCATTTGTTTTCTGACTGACTCATGGTGATTCAAGATACTCAGCAAAATGTGGACATGGTAACACGACAAGTGAGCTGAGTAGAAATTAATAAAAAACAGTGGAATAAACATAGATTCTGTTTAACAAAAGAGTAATAAATTATTGTTAACACTACAATATAATTCATACTAATATAAATTCAAAAAAACTCGTCTAAAACTGTTTCTATTAAATATACCTTGGTATATAAACATAGTCTAGTTAGTATTTGTAATATGCTATTTGAAGTACTAATTCTTCTATTCTTAATTTTTCGGTACAAATAAAGTCTCCATGACAAAAAATAGTAACTGGCCGGCTTGATGAATGCTATAAAAATAAATATAATTTCTCGTACAAGGGAGCCGTTAGTGTGCTTACTATTTATATTAAAGAACCGAAATAGTTTCGCTTATTAGTTTCATATTTTCTAGACATGCAAACTTTTACTTTGATCATTATAAATAAAACAGATTAACTACGACTGTATATTACTGCTAGTAAAATACTATATTCTGAAATAAATCAATATTAAAATTAATATGATCACAGTTTAAAAGAATATTCAACATTGTTATATAAATGTTTTCACTCATAACAACATTACCAACGAATAAATTTTTTTAAAAATAGTTCTCTATAATAATTATACGGGTAGAAGACGGAAGGGTCGCTACTCAAAATAAATCATTTAGGTATATGGAATCTTTGAAATTGTACAAAAGTTGATTCGGCAAAACACACATAAAAACCACTTAGTAGACCTAAGATAAGGCATTACTTGATGTCCTTCCTTACTACTTTTATTGTTGTGTTAAAAACCCAATGTCAGTACTAGGTCAGTGGATATTGTTACAAAAAAAAAACAAAATTAATCTGTTCAAGACGGGTTGTACACTTATCTGTGCTGTTTCTTATAGCATAGCTGACGACCAGACCAGACCTTCGTTACATATAACCTCACCTCCAAATACTTCGTCATATAAAACACAATTCTTACATTTCCTGCCATTCCTTTTAAATAAAATAGCAGGTGAAACCGTGGTATACATCTAGGACATCACAATATAATAAATAATCATACTAAACTATTTATAATTAATGAGCAATTATAATTAACATTCTGAATGTGAAAAATGTAGACAAACATGAATATTAAGTACTGGTAGAGCGGGCAACAAGTTTGTGTCATAAGAAAAGATCCTGACAGCGTACTCAGTCGAATACAAGATGGTGGTCATGAAATGATTACGATTGCAAGTTTAATGGAAATTAAAAATTCCTTTATTTTATAACTGACCCGCGCAAATTTGCGTAACAAACATACTTGAAAATCTAAAGGAGTAAATTGTCACAGTCTGCACCATTTTTCATCGATCCTTCGCTTCTGTCTGCCATACGTAGCGTGGTGTTATATAGCCTATAGCTATTAGATGACAATTGATATTCAACACAAAAATAAATGATAAATTGAAGCGTTTAATCAAACAAACTCTTCTTAGTAGCTAGATAACATACTACGGCTTTAATAGATCCATACCTCTCAACAAGGAACGTGTCCGGCCAGTGTTGGGTTGCCTGCCTTCTGCGTCGCGGCTGCAGCAACGGCAGCAGTGATCTTCCGTCCATGTGAGGTGGTGGATCTACGCCGCCCATGTCCAAAAATGTAGGTGCCAGGTCAATGTTCAAAACAATGTCATCCACACTAAAAATAAGAGGTATACACGGTTAATCATAAAATACGAATACATATATAATAAATAGCTTTATAAACGGGTCTCTGAATACTAATTTCAGTAATATTTATTTTAATTTTTAGTATGCCTTTGAACCAAATCACTATTCTTAATATTATACTAATTATAATTCACGCGCCATGTTCCCTACAGGTATATACGGAAGCATCTCGAGGCGTTTCTCTCCAGCTTACAGTAAGGAACTAGAAATTCTAAGCTTATACTGTTATAACTTATACCACATTTCAGGTATGTATGAAAGTACTTAGGAGATATGACGATCTTCTTCCCCCGTCCCCCTAAATAGGCTTATTTATAAATTATGCCTTGGAGTAGCATCCTATAACCTATAATCCATCCGACAATCCATCTTCTATTCATCACATCACTTACCAGGACGCCTGAAGCCCGCAGTACGAACTAAGCTAATTCTTACTCTAGCATAGCATATTATTAGGTTATTAATGCCAGCATGTTAATTTAAATAAGTACCGATGGAATCGCCAAGTAATGACATGTCTGTTTTTCTAAACTTTAATTTATTAGCGCCATTTCATTAACTCACATTCACGTAATATCATTTCGCAACGACCACTAACTCACTTAATTGAGTAAAGACACAAATTAAACAATTTACAATTATGTTAAAGCATTTTAATAATATAATAGTCCCGATAATTAGGTAGGTATATATATTTTATTGAAACTTCAAAAAGACACAATTTGTATTACGATTTGATACCATGTTTTTGTTTTTGCACTCTACAAGGTAGGTACATATTTTTATAAGAAGTTTAAAAACAATTCTGGCTGAATGAATGTATTTTAATAGAATACTTACACAGTGCCGGGCTCCACACCGGGACCACGTACTAGAAACGGTACTCGAATATCAAACTCAAATGGAAAACTTTTCCCTTTCACTAAGCCAAACTGCCCGAGGTGGTAGCCATGGTCCGATGTGTAAACTAAATACGTATTATCCAACTCCCCCAGCGCTTTTAGCTCTTGATAAACTCGTTCTACAGCCTGGAAAACGTTAATTAACTTTATTAACGTTAAAATTATTACATTAATATTCATGATTACCAACATACAGTACTCGGAAAGCTGCACAATTTTTACCTACATATTAGTTTAAAGCAACATTCAAGTTACAGTTTAGTTTTGGTTTCAGCAGAAAATTTAATATAGCTATAACCAAAAACTTATACCTACGTACGTAAGTTCGTATGAAGTTAACGTATAAATTTAGTAGTGCATAATTAAATCATTCTTAGAACGATTGTTTTATTAGCAAAATCTTTTATTGCACCAAAGTAATTACATTAATAAAATATTAAACAAAAATGTAATATCTACAGAAACCTATAAATGACTGAAGAAGTTCTCTATAACTTTTGTTAGTTTTGTAATATATACACAAAATATATAACCTAGATCACTTTGGAATAATGTATTTCAAACAGCGAAATACTCGTAATTCGATGTCGTAATGCGATGCGAATAGTTAATAATTTTAATAGCTGTATATTATACACAGCGTTGCTATTGTAATATGAATAGATCTCGGGGATCATAATTTTCCCACGAAATATATATATATTATATCACAATGCCTGAACTCAACTATTTCCGACTGCTTAAGCGTTCACTTTAGTCTGTGAAATATTGGTTCCTGGAGCGGCTTGACAGATAAATCTCCAATATGCCGTGAGCTGGCCGTCCTATTTCAACTGCTTGTAGTGAGCGTGTGAAATGATATAAATAGACTGCGAATATTGCCGCCGGCAATAAATTTTTACTTTTTGTTAAATTTGTAAAGGGTTTACAACATTTATGCAATTATTACAAACGCATTAATACTGCTGTAAGTGTTATATTTTTTATGTTTGTGATTTATATATAAATATTATACTTTTAAATTGAAGTAAATTTCTCATATTGTAACTATTACTGTCATATACAATAATCACAAAGATTCATTAAGATTTGTCTTTAACGAATCTTTGTTAATAAAATTAGCCATTGTTTTATAAAGATCTTGAAGTCATAATTAAATCCAATAAGATTTGATTATGATTTAGAGGCTCGTAATTTTTTCAGTTTGTGATAAACTTTAGCACTTAAAGCAATATTATACTTAAAGCAATGTTTCGGAACTAAAACTACTTTTTATTTCACTCGACATCGTGTAAATTTTTTTACTTCAAAAATAGCTTATCCGTTCTCGTGATACAATCTGTCTACACGTCAAATTAATTAAGTTTAATCGTGAAAAGGAAACTGATAACCAAACAGACACACTTTCACATAATAATATATACTGTAAAGCATGGAAGTATGAAATTAATAAACATATTCCCCTATTTTTGTGAGAAAAAGTATTCAAGTATATTACTTAGTTCTATTATAGATTCCACTTGAAATCTTATTCCGAATTCTATGCATAAAGAACTAGCTAACTTAAACACACAAAACAAACATAGCAGTACCTAAGTCTCCTATTCCATCCAATATCAAACATTAAAATTCGAACTTTATAGTTAAGAAAGAAAAGTTAATTTAAAACCAGAACTCGTAAACCGTTATTTCCCGTTCTCCTGGGACTTCCCAAGACTCCTTTGTTCTCGTCGAAATAACTATATTGAAAATGAGTCTACTTATGAAAATATATTAGTTTCTGAGTTTTCGTTAATTATATTAGTAGTCTACAGATTTATATTGTAATTTCCAAGTTTTATAAACATTCAGCAGTTTTATTAATGTGTAACAAAAACTTAGGAATTACAATATAAATTAGTAATTGCGAAATTTTATAACTACGTATAACTATAACACTGCAACGTATACCTATACTTTGATTTATTAATAATAGGATTATGAGATAAATTTATTCTAGTAATGCTATTAGTAACATGTAAATTTATACGTATAATTTTCCTAAAATAAATAAATACCTAATACAAAAAAACAGAAGCTCAGATTCTACCATTGATTCCAACACTGAAGTTTAGTAGAGCCACAGTTAATAGCAAATATTTACACAAAAATCTTACCATATCAACGCTTTGCAGTGTCTGCAAACGCTTAGTCATAAGTAAATCTGTGAATTGTCGATGTATTGGCTTCATCTTCTCAGTCACACGTAATATCCACTGCTTGTCAGGATTCGGGGCCATGTCATATGTGGGTGTACTGTAACAAAACTCTCACATAATTAGGTACTTACAAACACATTTTAATGAAAAAAATACATAGAGTGACACTGAGAGTTTTATAGTCAATTAATCGAACTAATATAATTCTGAAAGCTGAATCGCGAGCTTCGTCAACGATCACATAAGAAACAACGTCTTTGCAATATTTTTCATCGATGCTCCGCTCCTATTAGTTGTAGCGTAATATACTATAGCCATCCTAATATATATACTAAAATCAATTTTCAATTAAAATCAGTGCTTCAATTGTATAACCTTTATAATTTTATTGAGTTTACAACTATAATTTTGTAATAATATAAAATGAATATGATTATTCATTCTAAACATAGTACACCGTCACATACGTAGGTACATCGTACACCGTCTGTTAAATTTGAAATCCATGCTAATATTTATAAATTTGAAGGTGTGTTTAACTGTCCGTTTTAATAAAATTGAAGGCAGAGATAGATTAAATTAGTACAGACATGCGGGCATGGACATCTGTCTTAAAAATATTGCGGAAAACAATAAGTGTGAATAATTCTCCAAAAATCGTTGTTGTAGTCAACTATAACGTTAATCATTCAAACCAATTTAAATTGAAAAATCATATACATTTTTATTATGAAAATTCAGTAATAATTTAATGAAAAACTTATTGCATAATTAACAATATCTAACCTATAACCCATAAACGAACCAACTTTCTATGATGGCATACATAAACTTAAAAACAAGATGACTATAAGTTCAAAGGGATTCAATATATTCTTACATATAAATACTAGGTACCTATATGAATAGTTAACAAATAACACTGAGGAATCTATACCTATTGTAAAAGCGACACCACTGTCGTGAACTCGTGAGTTTCTATCAAGAATAGTTCCAGGGATGCCAACGGTACAAGGATCCTTTTACAAATGCGTAATTTTTCACCATTATTAGCACGAGCACATTTTCTTCGTTGAACAGGTTTGTAAAATTGAATTTTGAGTATTGGTCAAAAAACTGTAATTTGAGATCAAACTGTAATTTAGGATCCAAATGTTTGGAACTTTATCGGATTTTATAAATGTTCGAGGCTAAGTGTTTTAGGTTGGTAACCCTGAATAGCTCCTTTCAAGTTATATATTTATTTATATAGTATATACATATTGCGATGCAAGTTCGCCGGCAAGATGCCCGCCGCCGCACCGCCCCGGTACAGGTTTCCGACCACACAATACGCCGATGGCTGAATATTAAACTTGGTCCCAGATTTGGTTCTCGATGCCGGGTGCATTAGACCAACCGCCGCTTCGCGAAATTTATTCATGTTATCTTCCATAATAAAATGTAAAGACACAGTAGGTATAACATTTTTTTACTTTTAAACGAATACGTATTGGTATTTAATGATTCGTGAAGTTAATTAAAATGTTACTTTTTAAATATTTTAATGGTCGGTTTGGTGATACGGTTTATAATTGTGTGTGTGTGTGTGTGTACTTTGTTGTGTTTAATTCTATGTGTATGTGATATGTGGTGTATCTGAAACTGCAGGTATTTTTGTTAGAATACAACGAAAAGAATATAGATGTTTTTTATTCTTAATTTTTTCCTAAAGACAACCAATAAAAACATTTTAAACAGTACCTAAAAGTACATTTTTGTTTAAAACTTTTATTAGGTACATAGATATTAGTTAAATACTAATTAATATTATAAATTTTTACTTTAGTGTGTCTGTATATTTGTTTGTTACATTTTCACAATAAAACGGCTGAACGGACCTTAATGAAATTTTACGCGATACCTATATATATATATATGAGTGATACAGTTTATTTCAGGAAAACAGTTATAAGCTATCTATTATTAATTTTAATAAAAACAAGACGACATGCCAATTAGTAATAACATACTTATACTGATATCATACATGAGACCAAAGGTTCTGCGGACCATCGTATAAATTACCGGTGGTCAGACAACGCATGTTAATTGTCGGCACGTGAAAGACTCCAACGTCGCAGATTAACGACATTATGTCGATATAAAACTCAGTGATAAATGTGCCTATTCATATTTAAAGAAATCTTTTTTATTGTATTTCATTTCAGTGCACATGTAGTCTTTTTTCGTATAATTTGTACTTCTTTATCCATATATTATAGATACAATGGCCCATTAGTAGGCATGGTATCGTTTTTGTTAATTATATAAATATTGTCGTCGCTTTTATACTTACATGAACAACTCTACTAACATCACGTTATCATGTGTCTGCTATTTTCATCGTAAGCCTTTTCCATTCCAATTGCATAAAATAACCAGCCTTTTTACAGGACAGGTTGAGTACTAAGTATCAAAATATTATATATTCTTGAATCAATTTTACACGCATGCCTATTGAAGAGAACTCTATCAGACAGTAAGAAGGTTTGTATTTATTTTCCAAAGCCTTAGAGATCGCTATATTCATTGCTACCGTCCGAAGTCGGGGCGGATTGCTAGTGCAAAGTAACGTACCGCAAGAAACTGGATATTGAATACATTGACGTCCCACTAGAACCCAGACGACATGTGACGTACAAAAATACCACCGCGCAATCCAAGTCTCGTTGAGAGATTGCTCCATCTACATTATTCTGCGCCTACATCATCCGCTGAATACACAAGTGAGTATGATGCCCCCAAAATCGTAAGAGACCAGAATATAACGGACGAGTCTAAACATTCTTATAAAACATAAATCAGCCCAGCGCGGACCAAAGTGGAGGTAAAATTATTCAGGGCGTCGGTCGTAAGTGTACGTGAAATTTCGGGGCTCTCGCGAAAAAAGGCGAGTACCTTCGTACCTGAGGATGACAGAACACTTTTTAATATTTCAAGGTTCTGTATGTATACTTTTAAATATATACATAAATTAATCGAACTCTCCCAAAGAATACATACTACATGTGTGGTAAAATATAAGATTTTATTTATCGAATTCGCTGTTTTTCTAAAGTCCATTTCAGTACTTAATATATTATTTTATTTTACCGATTGCATGTGTGCATGCACTAATGTAAATCAATTAGCAATAGCAATTTTGACATGTGCTTTTCATTCCAAGTTGGAGTGTGAGTTGTGTGAGATATTGATATCAAATAGTCCGTCAACTTGTTTCCTATTATTCTTTACATAAAAAAGTAAGTTGAATGAAGATTGATTTGATTTAAAATAATACATATATATGTCATATTTATCATATATCAAAAACTACAAGACAGAAATTATTGGGAATGGCTTCATCATTATATTTGAGGACTCCAAAAATCCCGGTCAACTCCTTAAATATTTAAAGAGGAGCAAGATGGCCGCTGCACGCTCTCGAAAACGCCGCACCAATTAGTGTTTTTATAGAAAATATAAAAGAACGTTTATTTTAATCTTATACCTATACTTATTACAAACTTAAAAGTATGTTTAGTGAAATATTCTTGATTCAAGGGCAATTAATTACTTTCATTGTATATAGTGAATAGCTACATATAAACTAGCTTTTAGAAACCAAATCTCTCATATTAAGTTGTATTTAAATACCTTACATAAGATATAATTTTACTACAATAAAACGTTTCCGTTTCATGAATCAATGTGGAAAAAATTATATCAAAAATAACTTTTGTCATGTTACTCTGGCGAGAAACTATTCTTGTTACCACGTTTAAAAATGGGTTAATTATTTAGATAAAGACTTTCATAAGTAAATAATCTATGTATCTAGTATATCTAACCTAAACCTAAGTATTTATCTATTTAAATATTGTACTTACTGATGGGTGGTGACATTAAAGAATAGATGTGAAAACTGCGGCGCAGAATCTTCAGGCCCGTGTGGAGCTGGAAACGACATTACAAGCAACACCGGCTTCCGCGAGAACCGCCTCTTGGACGCACGCAGAAATGCTATTGAGTCGTTAGCAATTAGGTCTGGATAATAATCCTAAAACGAAATATAAATAATAATATTACTATTTATGTCATTAAACTATAATATTTATTTTTAGCTTTAGTTTTGAATTTGCAAATTTGAAATAAGTAATTGAATTTGCCAACAATATTAAACTCGCTATATACCTAGTTCAATTTGAATTTAGAATACCATTTTTTTTATTAACCAGCTACGTACGTATTATATTATCGTTACTATAATTTATAATTAATCTGTAACGCGCGAAAAGTGTAATTCAAATTCAGAACCCAATATTAGTTTTTTCTTGAACAATTAGTTTTTTTTACAAATAAAATAATTTCATTGACAAAATTATTTAATTTATTACTTCATTTCTATTATGTTATCTTAGCATAGCTCCTGCCACAATAACTTATGTCCTTTCTCCTTCTGCTCTCTGTTGTAAGCATTTATTCGAGAATGTTTTAATACTTTATACAGTAGATAATAAAATTAATATATATATATTAACATAATATAATTCCTTCGGAATGAGAGGTAGATTAAAAAAAACACTACTACTCCGAAGTGCTTATATAGTATAAGTTAATTTGAATAATGAATTTTAAATATTGTTCTATTCTATTCTATATATCATAATCGACACTGTAATTGTTTCAACACAGTTATTGGATATGTTTCTCTGTTAAATATGATATCAAAATTAGGCAAAATGTTAAGTATCTTTAAATAAAGCAGATTGGTATTGCAGTAAATTTATAGCTGTATAATTATATTACCCTGTGATAATCATCTCCGTGTTTGATCCTCTTGCCGTTCATATTGACACTATAATTGTAGTACTTGGAGTTCATGATGAGGCCGCCCCACTCACGCCAGCCCGGCGGGATGTACGACCCGTTGTACTTGTTCAGATATTTTCCGAAGTAACCTGAGGGCAACACAGGGAGTCAATTACTGAGCTACATAGTCCACCTGCGTCTAACACTGAAAAGTATTTGAAACGTCGAGATATTATAGGTACATATTTAATTATTCTCGACTAAGTCTTGTTAAATATTTCATTGACTGTTGTATTTTCTTCCATATATCTAACGCTACTTATTACCTATAGTGATGTCTATCTTTCTATATTACCCAAAGGTCAGACAAAGTCGTAGAGAATTGATGGTACCATTCAACTCATAATGGATCATTTCTTGATCAGTAACTAAAATTTAAAAAAAATCAAAGAATTTTTTTTAAAACAGTAGACGATTGCTTCTTGGCGGTGTAAATGAAATATAAGTAGAATGGAATAGAGTAGACTAAGAATATGATAATAAAAATTGCAGTGTAGGCAAATACCCGTAATAAAACAACTTATTTTAAATCTAATAGAATATTATCATTGCTTTCTTGATTCAATTATTTTAGAAATATGAAAGCGTAGCGGGTTTTGTATTAATTGCCGCATGCATTCTTATGTGAAATGTGAATACTATAAACATCAGATGGCAATTGTGAGTAGCTATGACGTGGTCTGGTGTTTTGAGTAGTCATGCTCACTAAAATGTCCAGACTTGTGGCGGCGTGGTGGGCCGGGTCATTGGGCTCCCTAAAATATGGTCGAGCGTAGTGGTGGCTGGCTCATCCGTCATACTCGTGAACGGGTGCTGCTTGTGTGGACTGGTCTGCTCTAATCACTATGACTTATTTTCTCTTATTAATTGTTTAACCAATTGTTGTATATTGAATGTTTTTTTTCTATTTTATTATTTCATTGAATTAGTGCTAATCGGTGGTTTGTATTCACACACTTAAACTTAAATTGTAAGTAAGAATAAATTATTTAAAAAAGCAACACACAAGTTTCTTGCTTGTTCTTCTTGTGATGAGACAGCATTCCGAATGAGCGGTAGATTAAAAAAAAAATGTTATGACTATTCAAAAGTGCTTCAATGTAAGTTTATTTGAATAAATGATTTTCTATTCTATTCTATTCTATTCTATTAAATAACATTGTATATGACATTCAAATTATGATCTTTCAAAATTTCAATTACTGTTCAGGAAAAAGCATTGCCCGGAGTTGAATGGAAGTGCTACCAGGCATGAAATTATTGTTCGCCAGTAGACAATAGTTCTCGAATTTTAATTCCGGTGTCATTTATGCAAATGCAGGGAGGATTTTAATTTTCGCGCGAGGCTTGCCACTGCCAGCCGCCGTCTCTGGCGTCACAGCTCAAATGAAGTGGATATAAAAACGATGATTACTTCAGATGCAAGAACTATATAATGAAAATGTCCTAGCTTCTGAGAGTAACATTTTTTATTAGACTTAAAAGTGATACCCAAGACAAGTTAGTAAAGTAAAGTAAGTAAAATTAAAGTAGTAAGTAGTTACTTGGAGTTAGCAATTTTAGATTAAAGATATATCGTTAATACGATCGAAAATATTTTTACAGTTATGTAACTAGAAAATAATAAAACTTTTTTGCTGACTGTGTGGATATTATAATTTCCAATAAATATATGTATGTATCGACTGTTACACATGAAATAATTTAAAACATATATGAGTAAAACATTATATTATAAATGATCGTTACAATTAGATCATTTAATAAAATGCAATTGAATATATATAATTTTAAGGTAAGGTAAGGTAATTAATTACAAGGACTGTATTGATAGTCTGCTTTATGTCTAATATGTATATATGTAATACAACATGTAATATGATAGTTAAACTAGACAAAATTGTATCTACCATCTAGATAGTATCTATTCTCCAAAATCAATAAAATCCTAACATAATTATTTGTATCAGGCAGATTACAAATATTGAATAATGTTCAGTGTGAATAGTAACTGTTTATTATGGCAATCATCTCACGTTACATACAAGAATAAATCGTTTAATTAACTAATAACTTATGAAATGCAGCGCCATTGTTACGCAAGACACAAGAACGCGCCCGGAAGACGTTAACTGAAGAAAAGACATAACAATTTTCAATTTCGTTACACAACTTCCTTTATTCAAGCATATCTTCTAGTTGAACATTAAAAAACTGTTTAGCTACATGTTTTTCATAAATTAGAAGAAAATAAAATTTCCGTATGAATCTAATTAGTATATTTCGATACATATTTGATGAAGGTTTAGATAGAAATCTATAAATATCTTGAAAGGGGTGCTTTTAATAATAACGCTACCTAGGGCACTCATATTATTACTTAGCTTTTGTATCATGTAAAAAAAGCAATTTTCTCTATATATATATTGTATATACATATTTCTAGGGATTCAAAATTCCTACTCCTACTACATAATCCTACATAAGAATATATATCTTGAAAAATGTTTAGTGTTTATAGATCAACATAAAATATATACATAGGTAGAACCGTTGAATTGAATACTTCCTTCTTTTTTTTCCTTAATCAAGGAGTTTTCTTTAGTTTAGTTTAAAGAAAAACAGATGTTGTTTATAGTACAACTGTACTTATTAGTAGAACGTTAATTATAATTATTTGATTGTATTGACCGATGTCTGTCTGTCGTTGATAACAATGACATGATTGATGTACTCGTATATACAAATAAAAGCATACTAAGAGAATTTTATTCATCTCTAATTAAAATAGACAGTACTGACAGTATTTTACTTTAATAACATCCACTTAGCAATCTATTTTATTATCATGTACTAAATATGACTACATTGTATGAAACATGGACAATTTCTGAATACAAATATAATGATTAGTAATTGTATCGTATTGAAAATTTGCTGTGCCCGCGTTTTTAATAATGGCGTAATAATCTATTCATTGCAAATTCTTCTGAAGCCCGAGTTGTGCTCTAGTTCCTTTTCATATAAAAAAACACCGAAGTTGACTTTGTATATTGTCGAATGTACTGGTTTTTTTGTCTCACGCGTTTTATATCAAGATTGATAAGCTTTGTTTCTATTTAAAGGAAAGATAATGCAGTGAAATTTCAGAACAAGAAGCAAGACATTATAATTCTCCAGATTGGTAACGCATTTTTGATCCCAGCTCATGATAAGGTGACATCTGTACGCTGTTCATGTATATAGGTGACGGTTACCACTTACCATTAGATAGACCGACAGCTTGTTTACCATTCCAATTGGATTAAAACAAAATTTTTAAGAATATTATGTAATAAATTTAAGAATTCTTGTGTTCACGTCCACTTGTGCGCCCTATGTCCTGGCACCCATACTATTATGCCTGCTCTATACTATGTTATGCTATAATCTTGTTACCCTACTGCATATATACAATGTAGCTACTACCTTCCCAACAAAGTAGGTAACTGACTATTCTATATTCCCTTGTTATCTCTGGATGTCTGTCGAGTAGCTGTTATCTGGCATTCTATGCAAACCCTCAAGGAAGATAACTACGTAAAGTATGTTAATATAAATTAATTACTCCTACTTAAATCTTCAACACTGAAGTTTATATTGAAGCTGCAAGAAAAGTATAAGGAGTAGACAAAATAACACCCCGGACAAACGCAATAAGTGGGTTCGAGCTATAACATAATAACTGAGTTAGTTGATTTCGTATGAGTCGGGGTTCAAATAAAGATGTAAATAAATTCAATTAGAACCAGAGAAAACAATAAATTAGAAGTTTGTTATAAACTGGACTCGGTGTAAGACAGTTCTAGGTCGAAAATCCATTATCTTCGAATTTCACGTAAGGAGAGGTAATCTTAGTCGGGATTAGTGTATACGGAACTCGAACATCTGTACAAGAAGTTAAAGGGGATCAGAAGAATTATTACTTATTTACAGATAGAGCTAATTAACATAAAATCTCATACTAAGAAATTGAATGATATAATCAGATTATACCTTCTTCAAAAAGAATAATGATATCTTTCTGTTCTAGTCAAAAGTATAAAGTACGGCTATAAATACAGGATTAGTGCATTACCGCTTAGGGTAGGTATATTGTATTATGTCTGTGGTATACTCCGTATGTTATAAATACTAAGAAAGATTTATGTGATCGTAAGAAATAAAAATGATAAGTAGAAATAGATTTTTAAAACGGTCAATTATATTAACTCACAAACAACAGTTGCACATTACAACCTTAATCATTACCACTTTTAGACCAATTGAGATGTCTGTAAACTTCCAATAGACTCTAAATGAAATTGTCACTCAATGTGAACACAGTAAAGTCTGAAATACTTTATACTGAAAACGTTATTATAAACTCGTGTCATTGGAAGTTGTCTCCCCTTGTCGTTACATTGTAAATTGTCCGCAACATAAACTCAAAAGTTAAAGTGTGTTTGTCAACGTCACTTACTACTGCCTACACATTTCACGTAAACGTTTAACACGTTTTATCATTGTCACCTTTCATTATTGTCACCTTTGTCTCAGCCATAGGGTGACATGTTTAGAATACATATATAAATTACATACATGGACATAGTAAACATATCTTCTATTCCCAAATTAAGTAGAATATTTCACGTGGGTTTCTGACAGACGTACTTGCGTCATGATAAATAGAAAAAAATTAAGAGTACCTCATATATTTAAAGGCCTAAGTAAGCTTAATCTAATAGAAAGTCTTCTAAAATTCCTACGAACTAATTATGACTTAGTTGTGAATGTTTAAATAGTAATAAATACTCACAAATGAAAATGCTGATGACTAGTTTTAAATATAAAAATTATACAACATGTGGTTACTGAAATATCAAACTACTATTACTTTAATGCCAGGTACAATGCCTTTAGTATTCAAAATTACAAAAGCTTACACTTTTTTGCATTTTGAACACTTATAAATTATATTTTATTATAATTTTTTTTATTTTATATTTTATCACACAAACGCAAAAAACACAAAAACAAGCAATAAAAAATTCTAACAATCATTATTTTG